TTTGAGATTGCGGCTGGAGGGGCTCTCTCAAGTAGGATGAGAAATAGCTTCTCAGTTGCAGTGTTTCTTGAGGTCAATTTTAGACATACGTTGCTAATTCATAAGGAAGAAGGTTTGGAGATTAAAATTAGATGTCTTACTAAATTTGGGAAGGGAGGATTTTTCCTAGGTTTAAAATATGTGGAACAGGGTCTATAGCAAAATGAGGAATGATGTCATTAGTATCCCTACTATTGAGTATATTAGTATTTCTGTTGCTCAGTTTTTACTTTGAGATGCAAGGGGTTTTCCTATATGAAATTAAGAGCACTAAGTAAGTAGACTTTACAAATATAAAAAGCTTCTGAGAAGGGTGGAGGGGAATAGCAATATTTCATTTCAAGGGAAATCACAAGAGCCTTATGAAGGGAAGGCTCTAGTGCTGCTCACCTCTTCAATTGGAAGGCCTTCTTCTAATTTTTACTTTACGTTTCTAGGACTTGCATATGCGTCTTCTTTCTAGGCAGTGATCTGTGTATATAGGTTGGTATTATGATAGGTGACTCTTTAGGAGTCAAACTACCTACGCGAAATAAGTAAGAAAGTTATCTCCAAAGCTGTGTTTGGTATATGTGAGTTAGCGTAGCTCTTTGCTCGCTTAATTGTTATGCAGTGATCCTACAGGCTATGTAGTATCAGTAAAGATTCACAGTACACAACAGAGAAGGAAGAACAAAGTTTTCGTACAGTGCTGGCTGTTGAACTTCCAAAGACCTCCTGCAAGTCACTGAATGAGTTCCAACAGGGATATGGAAACAATCAGAGGAATTACAAGGGAATTATTATTTTTGTTCTGGGGCTTGGAGTCATTCACTGTATTTCTACTTTAAAATCAGTTGTTCTGTAGTACGTAATAGAACATGTTATGAACTAATTCAGAAGATCTAATTTCTTTGTTATGCCTTCTCTTTTAGAAAAGACTTTACTCACTTAAAGTAGCTCCTAAAGTTGCAGCCTCAGCAAAAGTAGAACGAGTGAAATTATCTCCAGAGGCGCAGGATCTTGAGGTCAGTATGAATATTTAGTATTTTTTTCCTCCTTTTTTTTTTAAACTCAGTTGAAAAAAAAGTGGAACAGTGACAGTACTTACAGTGGATCACTAAACTGTATTTTTATTCTTAATGCAGATTACAAAATTACCATATGGCTTAGTTATTGCATCTCTGGAAAACTTTTCTCCAGCTTCAAGAATTGGTGTGTTCATTAAAGCAGGCAGCAGATATGAAACTACTAGTAACTTGGGAACTGCACACTTGCTTCGTCTTGCATCTAACTTGGTAGGTGTTTATTCTCTTTGTTATTATTTTGGCAGTGGAAGGTTTATGACTGTAAAAAGAAATGATAAATAAAATTTAATGCAAGAGATTGATAAAGTGGAAAACAATATACACTGATTCTTGGTTACCCAGGTAAAATGCAGGAGAAATGACATAACTTCCTGGAATACAAATGCTCGTATTTATTTAGAATTGTGCTCTCTAGCAGTGTCTCAAACTTTATACTTAAATTAATATCTCTATGAAATGGTATACATAGCACATATTATGTAAGCTGCAGTAAAAGGTAATTTGAATGGTTGAGATGAGCTTCATCTTTTTGTTTTTTATGGAATATTTCTGAATATCTTTTCTTACTGCTGTAATCGAGATATTTTAAGCTCCCTTTTTCCCTTCCTGTCTTACGGCTAATTGCAGTTCTGCAGGAGGCTGTGGAGGCAGGTACCTATCAGCAGGTTCAAAAAAGGATTAGACAAATTTATTGACCACAGGTCCACAAACAGTTGCTAAAAGGAATAGGTAGGAATGTACTTTCTAAAATTTCTAATACAACTATTATAGGTGCTGCAGGAATACTGTGGATGGATGATGGGAGGCTGTTCTGTTGTCATTGTCAGATAAAGAATATCGGGCTAGATGACCCATTGGTTTGGCACGCTGTGGTCATTTCTGTTGTTCCTATTTGTCTGGCTGTAGCTGTAGATATAAACACAGCCTCTCTTGCATACTGACCAGGCTGCGATGATTAGAGCTGTACAGCACTGCAAGCATGTTTTTGACTGCTGTTTTATGTGTTCAATCCACTTCAGTTTCAGGCAGGAAAAAAATATATATCCTAGTTGCTTATTACTTCCTTCCCAAGTGCTGCTGGAAGTTACTCCCCAGAGAGCTGTCAGCGTAGTAGCGTGTGTACGCATTCCTTGCCCTGGTTCTGTCAAGCTTAACCCCTTTCAAGCAATTATTAAATGTTCCAGCAAACCTGGATCATTGTCACAGAGTGGGGCTGGGGAACAACTGTGTGAGCAGTTACATTGGCAGGTCAGAGAGGATGATCAGCGTGAGGGGGGAGCAGGGATGCAAGTGAGTGTGCTATACTCAGTTGCAGCCTGAACAACAAGCATGACTTGTCTTCTGTCAGCCTCCTTGCTTTAACATTTTAAGAAGTCTATGCATTGGGGTTTTATTTCGTTTGATATGAACAATGCATCTTCAGAATCCTGAGATTTTTTTTCTTCCCTATGTTTTAATGAACGTGAGTTCTATATAAATGAACAGACAGTGTTTCAGCTTTTTTAAGCACTGGACAACCACAGGCAAATCTGTTCTTAAAGTAGTTAAGATTTTATGCAGCCTTTTCTTTGTTTGTTTTCTTTTAATAGACTACTAAAGGAGCATCTTCTTTCAAGATTACTCGCGGCATCGAAGCTGTTGGGGGTAGCCTGAGGTTTGTAACTACACAAATAATCTGTCTTGGTAAGATGCAAACAAGCTATATGACAAAAGAAAACTTAAAGCAATAAGCATTACAGTATATAAGTGGATAAGCTTAATACAGTAATGGCCTTTCTGAATAGTGCAGGTTGACAATGTCTTTTGTACATACATCTCATTTTATTAAAGTTCAAGGATGCATCCATGAGTTCTACTGTAAAAATACCTCTCAGTTAAGGAAATACAAGTGTTGTGTACCTGGAAGAAATATTTGCACAGAGAGTTTGATGTTCTTCCAACCTTTTCAGTCTTCTAAATTAAACTCCTTGAAGTCTGTAGGGTTTTTTTCCCCAATATTTTTGTCTTTGGTGAATAGGTAACACTCATCTTTTGGCAATGTTGGGAGCAACATGGACAGTATCTGGCTTCTGTGATTTGACTATTTAAAGCCTAAAAAAAAACAAGCCCCAGAAACGTAAAAAAGGGATCTCACTATGTTTGCTTTGTTGCAATGTATCTTAAAATTGTCCAATGACATTGTTTTACATAGAATTTGGTTAAATGCAATGTTTTAAATAACTTAAAACTCTATACTTTTTGTTCTCGTTAAACAAAGAACTTTGAAGCAAGTGGAAAGGGTAGAGTACGTTGTCTACCCAAAAAGAATTTCTAAATTGCCTTGTTTGCTACTTAGACGCATTTTTACTCAAGTTTTACTATTCATCCTCATTTATTCTTTTACCTTGAATTATCATGCTGTCTTAAATTCTAATGATTGCAAGACATTTATTATTACCAACGTTTTTTAAGGTATGAGTTTTACGTGTGTCTGTTTCTGCTCTTAGCACTGTGCATGTTAAAAGTGCTAATATATCATTCCTTTAAACAGTCATCTTGAATAGATTTAAGGTTACTAAATGTTCTAGTTGGTATCTTGCTGAAGATTTCAAACAGTTGGGAATATGTGTTAAAATCCACTTCTTAGGTGTTCTCTGCTAAAATAGGTTTTATATTTTTTCCTCATTCAGTGTGTACTCAACAAGAGAGAAAATGACTTACTCTGTTGAATGCCTGCGTGACTATGTGTAAGTACCCAGACATGCAGTGAACTGCGTTACTGCGTGTTTTCTATCAAGCTAGTCTGTAGTAAAATTACAGAGACCTATAATTTTAAAGGGTAGGAGTAATACTAATTTTAATGTCTATATAGTCAAATCAATAAATTACCATATTAATATTCAGCTTCTGTATTCATTTTCTCGGCATATGGATGCCACACAACTGAAGTTGAACTCTCGTACTCTGTACAGTAGTGCTAATACCTATTCTGACTGCAGTAATATATTTTGTTGTTAATGTGTTTGGTTATGGATTGGTTTGAATTGCTTTTCACTTTAAAAGATGCATATGCTACTTCTGTGGTTTTTTTTTTTTTAATTCCTATGTAACCTTTTTCATCTAGTGATACAGTAATGGAGTACCTCCTTAATGTCACTACAGCTCCAGAGTTCAGACCGTGGGAAGTAACTGATCTTCAGCCACAATTAAAAGTTGACAAAGCAATTGCATTTCAGAACCCACAAGTTGGTAAGTGTATTTTCTGATCCATTGTGTTATCTTCATGGACATTTATTTCAAAATGCGAAACTTTGGAAAAGTAGAGGATTTTCTGTAATTCATTGAGATGTAAACAGTGTTTTGTAAAAGGCTTGGATTTGAATGAGCACTTCACGTTTCTATACAAAAACTGTGTGTATTTTCATTGCATTGAAAATGCATTCCACTTTTAGATTTAAGTTTAGGCTAGCGGGTTAAAAAAAAGCTGCAAACACAAATCTTCAGCTAAATTGATCATATTCCAATATAGCTGCCTTACTTGAGGCTTAATCATCCAAGTTCACCAGGCAATTCTGTATAGTAAACATTATTTGTACTACTCCATTGATCTGAAACGTGCTCACTTTTGTAACCCGTTAAAAGTGATGACACAATGTTGGAATTTGGAAAATGGCTTATGTTATATTATATTTAGTTTATATTGAAGTAACACTGCTTTAGAAATTATATTAAGAAATTATTTTAGAAATTATGTTAAGAACAATCGGTGTTTCAAACTTGTATCAACTACAGGGTAAATTCGTAGTAATTTCATACTTTTAGTTAAAATCGTGTATTCAGAAACATAACAATAAAGAGAAGTGTCAGCTTTGTCTTGAGGAAACGGTATGAACAAGTAAAGGGGAAGTATCAAACAAGAATAAGTACAATACTATGGAGTACAAGAAAAAATATAATGAGAAGGGAATTGAAGACATTAGAATCCTTCATCTGAATACAGAGATGCACGAGACATCGTACAAAGCTACAAATAGTATTAAAACGATAAACAGTCTGTTCTTTCTTCTTCAGCTCAAGAACAAGGACTGCTTATGGTGAAGAAGATGAATCCGAAACTAATTTAAAGCGTTTTGATTTTTGTTGTTTTTTACTACTCTCCTTTCCCCCACACTGACAACATTGATGGTATCTGTAGTGTGCTGTTGAAGTCAAAACCGGTTGAGCATGTACAGGTTATTGAGAATTTTTGTAAGTTGCAAAACAATAGAAACCCTCAGGCTAGGTTCTGTTGCCTAAGGAGTTGGATGAAACTTTCATGGGTATTGGATTATTCCAGACCTGCTTTTGCTGATCTTGCAGTTGAATGCTTTAAAATGGACCCCAGCTTTGTTTCAGTGGAGTAGTGTTTAGTTTCATTCATAATCTTCATTAAAAGTAGCTATTATGTTAATAACCATCATTGACCCTTTGTTCCTCTTAGGAGTTCTGGAAAACTTGCATGCTGCAGCTTATAAGAACGCTCTGGCAAACCCCTTGTATTGTCCAGATTACACAATTGGAAAAATTACCTCTGAGCAGGTAGGATTCTTCAATTTCTGTTACAAATCTGTTCCTCAAGTTCCTTCACCAAGGATACATGGCAAGGAAATGAATTTTGGAAATAGTCTGTCTTTATTATCTTATTAGTCTGGTGCTAAAATAATTTGTTTCCTTAAGCTTTCAGGTTTCAGAATAGAATTCACATTCACATTTAGAAAGGCTGTTAACATCTGGAGCTTTCTGTTGATAGTAAGACTGTCAGTGAAATGCAAGTGTTCATATATAAAGGGCTTTCATAGCTGTCACTGAAGAAGGTGTAAAATGCTGTTCTATAGACAATTCCTTTCAGAAGTATTGGGGGTGGATGCATTAAGATTTACGAGGTCTGAACAGTAGATGCAGCAATGACAGAAGTACACTTGCCATTGTTGTTCTTTATACAAAATACCCTAAAATGTGAATTTACTGTTGCAGCTTCACCATTTTGTACAGAACAATTTTACAAGTGCGAGAATGGCGCTTGTAGGAATAGGTATGTATTTTCTTCAATGCACATTGCAATTCATAAAGGAAAGCTACTGTAGAACTTTGAGTTACCTATAGAAGTAAAACGTTAAGGTCCCTTTAAAACACTTGTTTTTGTATAACGGCTATAGCTTTCCAGAACCATTACATTCTTTGGAATAAGCTGTTGTATTGCAGGTGTGAAGCACTCTGACCTAAAGCAAGTTGCAGAGCAGTTTCTGAATATCAGAAGTGGAGCTGGGTCTTCTGGTGCAAAGGCTATTTATAGAGGAGGTAAGCACATTTCTTGTATTTGTTCTGAATGACTGATTTTCTAATTATTATAATTATAATATTGTTCAAAGATAGAACTGAAAATTATGCAGTTATACTACGTGTGGTACATGGGAAGGGTATCGTCTATCTAAATAAGCAGAGGATGAGAGAAAGCAAATATCCTTCTTCTCTCGCTCCCCCCACCCCATGAAAAGTTCTGGGATAAAACTGAAAACTGAACCCCTGTCTCCTGCGAAGCTTTACCTGCAAGATCATTTATTCTATAAAATGAAAAACAAACTGGCAGACAGCTTCTCTTGGCATTTTCGGAAAGATTTCCTTAAGAATTGGGGGAGATGGGAAATAAAGTAAGGACTGTCTAGAAATAGTGGAAGGCTTTGTTGTGGGGAAGATCTGTTGACCATGTTAAGTCTTTCCTACAAGACAAAGCAATGCTTAGCTTTCTCAAAGCAATATCTTGTACTAATAGCTGTCTTTCAGCTGAGGTATCAGACTACTCTGTAAACAGGGGAAAAATATATAAAGTTTCCAACATTCAATGTTTGACTGCAATAATTTCTATTTTTTTTAAACAGAATAGATATTTTTATGAACAAAAGTTATGCTGCTTTTCTGAATATTTGTTCTCCGGAGCCTCACTGAGTTTTATTAGTGCATACTATGTGTGGTTTTGGATTAGATTAAAATGAGGAATAATAACATACTTGGTTTTCTGCCTTTTTGAATGCAAAGGACTCTTTAATGCTCTTCAGACAAACTTTTTTGAAAATGTTTAATACTTTTCAAAGAGTGTTTTTTTAAAAAAGGTTAAGAAAAAATAATTATGACTGCCCTCTTAGGACTGACAGTGTAAAGGAGAGCTAATGGTCAGGAAGCTAGCATATGACCTGCAGCTTGCTGACAGCTTCTTGCTGTCTTCCTGAGTGGACATGAGATAAGTTCATTCCACCTGGCTTTCTCTCATGAAATCATTGCTGGCTAGAAATGCTTCCTTTTCATACCTGTGAAGGTGTAGTAGTTTCTAACTGAACACTGCTTTACTGTTTATTCTGTTGTTATATTTTTAGGAGAAATCAGAGAACAGAATGGTGATAGCCTTGTCCATGCTGCTATTGTAGCAGAAGGAGCTGCTGTTGGAAGCGCAGAAGCGAATGCATTCAGTGTCCTTCAGCACGTTTTAGGTGCTGGACCCCTTATCAAGAGGGGAAGCAATGTTACGAGCAAGCTCTCCCAGGGTATTGCTAAAGCAACTACCCAGCCATTTGAAGTAAGTTGAAAGGATCACTGCGCTTCATGTTTTAAGTAGAATGCATGCTATCCTTTGAAAGGTTAGTATTTCCAGCTAGAATTTTTGTTAGATCATTCTTGCACAAATTAAAAATACTTCACAAAAGGCCTTTCCACCTGATTTGTTTTCCTTTGCGGATATTGAGTTGCTGTGATATTTGAAACGTAGTTGATAACAATGTTTGTTTTGCAGGCCTCCGCATTTAATGTTAATTACTCTGATTCTGGGCTTTTTGGGGTTTATACCATATCCCAGGCCCCAAATGCTGCAGAGGTGAGTTTCTAGTTAGAATTTAAATATTAAATTCCTATTAATGTTACTCTCAGACTAGTGTTTTGGTTTGCGATAGTGACTGACTGATCTAAAAAGTCAATTCATCTGTTTTCCTGTGTAAGAATGTTGCATGTTCAGTTAGGACTTAACTCTGTAAGCTGCGAATAAGATTTGCTTTCTGGGAAGTGCAAATACCCAGTGTGAACCTGAGCTAGTAAAATACCTTGAATTGCTCACTGTAAATCTTTACATGTGTAAGCCTAAATAGATTATGAGGAATGTGCTGGCTCTTGAAGCTCGCAGAACTGAATACTCGCATGTAAGAGTGAGACTGTACAAATCAATATAGTTTTTAAAATCTCAACCCAGATTGCTTTTTTATCACACTTTGGTATTTGTTACAGTGTTTTCAGTTTTGTTCTGAAGCCGCTCAGTGTTGAGGTCAGGCTAGCAACCCAAACACTGGCAACCACTTTCTGAAATGGTTGTTCTAGTCAGATAATAGAAATAACATGTTGGAATTTTTAATGCCGGAAGAAATTTAAAATGATTTAATTCTCCTCAGGTCATTAAAGCTGCTTTGAACCAGATAAAGGCAGTTGCTCAGGGCACTGTTACAGATGGCGATGTAACGAAGGCAAAGTAAGTGGGTAAAGAACTGTCTAATGTGTTATGAAGAGAAGCTTCTTCACGTGTAGCTACTTGTCAAGCGCTTAGACTATTCTGTAGAGCAAACACGATAGCTGTCCTGTAATTATTTCTGTTGGGAAGCGCTAACTTTCCTGTTTCAAAATTAAAACCCTACCAATACTCTTGTTGAAAAGCTACATTGATTCTCTGCTAGCAGTAATTTCTAATAGAAGCTTGTTAAATGAGTGTTAGTGTTTTATGATAACTATTTCTATGTAAGAAATTGGTAAGCATCAGCAGATGCTGTTTTAATCATGCTCGGTAATACTGAGATGTATTTAAATTAGAATCCTAAATTGCATTATTTAGGTAATTCCCCTTGTGGTCACACTGCAGCAGTTCCCAAAACAGTCATTTAAACAACCTTACTCTTCTGCATCTTCAAAGAACAGTAATAATTAGGTCTGCAAATGTAAAGCACTGAATTAGTGATACTACATCCAGTGCTCTAAATACATGCCTCAGGTGTATTTTGAGATGGGGAAGATTGCTGTGCCCTTAGAGAGGCAGTAATATCAACAACGTTTGAGAGTTCCTGATTTACAGAGCTGTACACATAAGTGAGATGGTACTTAATCTTCAAGCAGTGTTAAACTGCACTGAATCTCTAAAGCTGTAGTTGCAGAATACAATATTGTACAGGTTCACTCAAGTAGAAGAAGTATTAAGACTGTTGCATGTATAACACACTTATAAGATGTCAAGTAAAGCTCGATTACACGAAACATGATCACCTCGATATGATTGATTGTGCCTTAGTCATTAGTAGCTAAGTGTTGAAATCTCTGCCTTTATATTTGGCATTATAAGCTTCCTAAAAAAGGACCTCCCTATTATTAGGGAGTTGCACACAGTGCTGTGGCATTTTTTTCTTCCCTTCTGGTATGACTTCTTTCTTTCACACATCTTCTACGTCGTCCTGTAGTGACAAAAAAACAAAAACGACAACAACAAAAACTTAAGGTCACTGATACTTGCACAAAGATTTGCAGAGTCTTGTAATTCATTCAGAAATACCAAACTACTTAAACAAGGTTCTGTAGAGTGTGATTTTGACTAAAACATTTTCTACCATTTCGTTTCAACTTTTTTAAAAATAGAAGCAGTTAGCTTTTAGAAATAAAATTTTCACGTGCAGCAGTGTGACTGTGTGAAATGGAACAAAATTATAGTATAAACCTGCCATCTTCTAAAAGACATTGAACTATTGTAAAAGGAACCTAACCACTTAGGTTAATTGCTTCTTTGTACATTACAATAAAATTGCTCTGCATACAGTTTCTCATCAGGAACAGATGAAATGAATTTTAAAAATAATTCTTGAACATATGCAGATATGCAGAAGTTAATTACTTCAAATACAAACAAGCAGCTAGGGATCTTCTGACCATATAGGGTGGCTGATCATTCCAAAGCAGTAGGTGCTCAACTACCCTGTCTCTTTCCTAACCTCCGAACCCTTCCGTACTTGAAAAGGAAAACATCTCAGAATGGAGAGGAATCTGGAAAACAAAAAAGGCACTTCTTGCGCTTGCACTTACGTGGGGGGGAGAAATAGGTAATAATAGGACTTACGTGCTTAGTCATTCTTAACGCTTTTTTGATGGCAGAAATCAGCTGAAAGCCACCTATTTGATGTCAGTGGAGACCTCAGAGGGGTTACTGAATGAAATTGGCTCTGAATCGCTGTTTTCTGGCACGCACACATCGCCATCTGATGTTGCTCAGAAGATCGACTCTGTAGCCACTGCTGATGTTGTGAATGTAAGTATGTGTCAGCATCTACAGGTGTTCCTTAATCACTGTGTAAGTTGTTTTTTTAATACTAAACTGATGCTTACTTGTGTGTGTTCATAAACACGCATATATGCTATCTTTAAAAAAGCAGTAATTTATTTATAAATCCTAACTGGCTATCTTTTGAGGCCCTTTTACTTTATTAACAGAAGACCCTTTAATCCAATACATTGCAGAACTAATGTAGCTGAGAGTATGTGAAATTCTCTTCTACATCAACTGAATTTACCAAAACTGATATTTATGTTATATATACACGGTATTAGTTCCAATGCAATCACTTCCGAATACAGGGTTTTAGGATTCCTAAGTCTAGACTATTTGGTCTGCATACTAAAACAATTAGGCTTTCATTGATAAGTTGACATAACAGTCTTGCTTTTTAAAATTATCTTGTTGCTTACACATGAAGCAGATTTCACCCAGAAATCCATCAGAAAGAGAAATTTTAAGATACTAAACTTGTTTGTTTTTCACAGTAGACACTTAACTTGTGTTGTAGTAGCAACTAGCAGCAACACTAGTACTAAGGAGAGAGACGCTGTATCTTATGATAATAATAGGCAGAATACCGTTTCCAAAGAGTTTATGCCTTTCACCTCTGACTATCATACTGCCATGCCTGTTTAGATCATATGGTGATGATTAGCAGCAAGTCAGTTTAGACAGCAAAATGAAAATTGTTGACTTGATGATCTACCACAGTAGTGTTGCACTTGGGGTTTTTTTTAGTAACTTGAAGCAGAGGCTATAAGCAGCAAGATAAACTCTCTGTTGTGGTGAATATTTTCTTATAACTGATCTTTCTGATTTATTTTCAGGCTGCAAAGAAGTTTGTCAATGGGAAGAAATCAATGGCAGCTAGCGGGGATTTGGGAAATACTCCTTTTCTTGATGAGTTGTAAAAATAAAGCTGTGAGGCAGATTCAAAATGGACCTGAGCTATAAGTCACCTATGTTCTAAATAAGTTGCTACTAATGTGTTATTTATGAATTCAGTTCTTTCAGAAAATTAATCTGGAGTAATTGTGGGCTTGCACTCATCAAATAAAGTGCTGAGTTCATATATTTTGTGTTGAGTCTTTTCCACTGAAAATGGTATGTAAAATGCTGGTAACTCTGGCTCTATCCGTTGAAGATAAAACTATAGTGAGAAAATGAGGTGCCTTTTAGCTGATATAAAAAGAAGGAATATGAAAAATTATCCTTGTGATGCAGATAAAACTTGTAATTGCCAGTTGTTCTCCATGTATTCTTGTATGTTCAAGAAAAACTCTTGATGAACTTCCTGCCCGTGCCATCCTTCCATCAAGTAAATGAAGAAACTTACCTTCAAAAAACAGATGAATGTATTTTAGCTTCTTAGACCTTGCATGCCCTACTTGGAGGACTAGCAGAGGTAACGCGTTTGAACGTCTTCTCCACAAGTAGCATTGATAGGCCTCTTTGAGAGTAGGGAGGGCGTTGCTAGAAGAGACAGCTTTGTGTGGCTACTGTATCATTTTAAATATCCTAGGATGCTTAAATTTTTGGAAGTCTTAAGCATGGTTCACCAGCATCTTCCAATGTAGTAAACCTCACAATCCAGTATTGAAAGTGAAAAGGTATAATACGACTTCAGAAATCTAGGTTTTGAAGAAGTCAGGTTTTGAGCTATTCCAAATGAAAGCCAAATTCTTCCAGCCAGAATGCATCTGATACAGAAGAGCAGGAGGAAGAGGAACTGGTCTCGTTCTTTTCCATAGTCCGATATGAAGCAGACTTAATGCCAATAGTATCAAATTTAGAATTACCCCATGCATCAGTGTCATTATGAAGTATAATGTCATATCCAATGTCTCTGCCTACCGTAAGTGTGTGGCTTGTATTAGATGTAGGCCAAATTTCGGATAGCGATGGTAATTTATGGGCAAACTCATAACATGATGATTGGGAAGGTTTATACTGAAAAGTTTCCAAGTCTAGATCATCATCGCTACTGTTCTCGGAGTCATCTTTGTCCTCAGCGTCTTCACCTGATGTGCTAAAAGTATACAATAGGGTATTACTGTGACATGCTTTAATTCCCCTAGCCATTTAGTTAACTTGCCTAATCAGTAAATCTAAGTTTTTAGTGAATACTTAGGTTAAAAACAAGTTCATTAGTTTTGAAGATCCTCTGATATGAAACTAAAGGTATTATCCATAGTTCTTTGCATACTGTTTCTCTTGGACTCTAATATAACAGCTAAGCCATAATCTGGGCAACAGAAAAGCAAGCTATCCTTTTTCTGCTCCTTCAGAACAGTAAATAATTAATTTAAACGTAAGCTTAGAGGTTTAATCTTTTGGAAAATCCCTTTGCTGCTTGAGCTCTCAGTCTCATTGCAATTCTAGTCTGCTTTGCTCCTTCTACTATTTCTGTTCCTTCCCCTAGATCTGAGGTTTCTTTTCTATTAAAATTTTGTGCCTCAGGAAAACTTACAACTGCCTCATATCCCATCTAGATTAATTATACTTACTGTGTGAGCCACTTTTAGGATTGAGAGCAATATATTTTTTTAAAGCTTCTGCATGCGGTTTTTCCTCACAAGACAAGCTTTTTTTTTTTTTCTCTCAGAAGTTTAATTTAAAAAGTAACGATCATTAATTGCTTTCAGTAGTTTGACTGATTTAAGAAACAGTAAAGCTTTTTACATAGGATGGACTTCCTACAACTGACCTCATCAGTTACTTGTAATTGTTTGGATCCTTGGCTATCACAAATGGACATGGCCTCTTTGACCTCAGAGGAGTTATTGCCAGCTAGTCTCTTTTATGGTCTCTGTGAAGGTGGGAAGGGACACGTCTGAAATAAATGTTTATCCTGACCCTGTCTTTATTGTAACTAGAAATGTGAACGCTCTTTTGGTATTTGTTCACTTCAAATCACAGTTCTCCATTCTATAAAAATATATGAGAAAATAGATTTGTACAGACTCTTCAACATTTTATCCTAAAAAGAAAAAGCTAATATACTATTTCACATTTCTCTCTAGAGTAATAAGTAAGGTGTGAAGCTAATTATGCACAGCATTTATTTCTTACGCTGCTGTCGTAGGAAGCTTTACTTCAGGAATTAAGTCAGCTGCACTTCGCCAGTGTTGAGGTACTTCAACAAAATCTCTGTAAACCCTGATTTGTAGACTAGTTCCTACTGGAATGTTGTGCAAGAGTTGCCTCAGCTCTCGCAGAGTCCATCCTACTACGTTAGCGTGTCCAATTTTTATTAGAATGTCACCTGCCAAGGGAAGAAAATCGACAGTAGTCAGCTTAAAAGACTTTTTCAAATTTACCGCATTCATATTGCACATTTTTATATGAAAATGCATGCATTAAGCAGCTCTTCAAAGCAGTTGGATGGGGCTTTGGTTTTGCTTTCTTTTTTAATGAAAGATCTTTCAGCAGCTCTGTTGAGAACTAACCTTTTCAGAACACTAAGGGAAGCTGCATATAATTACTTTGGGATTTGTCCAAGTGAATGTATTAAACTTTGGATTGCCTACTCAGTGCTACCTTGCATTTCTGTGTTTTTCCAGGAGAGAAAAAGATACAATGGTGAATACTCTGATCAGTAATAGTACTTTGGACTAGGTAAGACTCCAGCAAGGTTGAGCTGAAGTTATATAGCTGCACTGCTAACAGTTCTGCTGTTGGCATCTTTCCACTGCTTCCTTGTATCTTTTCACAGCTGGAATGTCCTATCTAGATGTATCTGCTGCCTGCCCTTGGATTTCACCTTGCTGTGTATGTGTTGGTATGGAGCCAAGTAGGCCCCTTGCTCTAGGGTGGCTAAGTTTACCTGTGTGGAGTCAGGGAATCTGTGTAACTGCCGTGTCACCTTGGGTTCATCCCAGCCTCAGGTTTGCCTCTCCTTGGTGGCTGGCCCTCTGCTCTGAGAATGACCAACACGTGGGCACACTGCAAGATGCTGTCAGAGTGAGGTGCGGAGTTGCAGGAAATGCCCACAAGAGCTGGTTATAGGGCATAATTTAACTGAGGAGTTCCAGCAGAAAGGTGTGGTGTTGGCTGCAGGACTGGGTTTTTTTAAGGATAAGGTGGCAGGTAGCATCCTTACTACAGGCCCTCAGTGGAAAGCGTGGAGCTGCAGTTTTGCAAAAAGCAGTACTGCATCCAAGAACAATGGCGCAGACAAACCTCAGGACCAAATATATATGCTGGGGAATCATAAGATGGGATTGTGGAGGCTGCAATTACTGGGTAGGCCTGTGATTTTGGGGATAGCATAAGGAAGGCAGAATGAATCTGCAGCAGACTAGAGCTCTATCAGCACCCTGTCAGAAGCTGTTGCACTGAGGAGCAGTATCAGTAAACATTATGTACTAAACGGCAACAGAACAGCACAGGGGATTTAAACAAGCAGTATAGCTGTCTGCTGCCATATTAGGCAGAGCAAGGAGCCTCTCTCCATCTGCTCTATTTTTTTAACCCTTTCTGGGTTAAAAATACCTGTGCCAGAAACTGTGACAGTAAGTCATAAAGTTGTTTACCTGAACTACCGGCTACCATTGTTAGTTTTCATTCACTTTTTCCATTAATTTTTCCTTCTACTCCAACATCATTGCCCCCTTCCTCCACACTAGCTTAGCTCAAGATATTAGCTCTACTTGGGTGCAAACAAAACATTCTGGAACAAGTACCAGGATAGCAGATACAGAAAAAGCACCAGAAAACAGTCTGCCAACAGTTTTATGTAAGTTCTCAGCCCCAGCTAATGGAAAGGTAAATCACCCAGATTACATGTTTCAAAATGCATAGACATAAATGTACTTATGCTTTAAAATATAAGCAGGATACTGTTAGCTTTAGACAGGTTTTTCACAACTGTTCTATTTTTCTGCCCATGTTGTCCCGATCTGTAAATGTCAAACCTAAGTCAAAGACGTTTGGGCAAGTCAAAGCCGCCTCTAATCTGCAAACGGATAATTTTGCTTCTCTGCTCCAGCATCTCTAGAGTCTGAAACACTACCCAGCTTTTCAGTTCACTTACCAGCTTTTGATCAGTATCCTTCAGTGGCCACCAAAGATTTGCCTTTGGATAACCTTTGGCAGAGTAAAGGTAGTTTGAAGAGGCCCATGTGCTAAGCAGCCCTGTTTCTTCTTGTTGGCATGGAGCATAAGGGCATACATACCTGCATGTTTGTTGAGTTTAACTGTCGGATTTTAAGATATTAGTGCCTCCCACTACCTCTTAATTTTTATTCCCCTCTTAAGGTCAGCAGAATGGCACAAGCTCTTTCAAGCTATAAGCAGTGCTAATATTCTTTTATTTTCCAGGTTGAAATTGTACAATAATACTCAGCCTACTTAGCAGAGAAATTAAGTCCCTAAAGATAAAAACCAATTCCCCATAAGAAAACCTTCTAAGCAGTGTTTTTGTGTTGTCCTTTTGTCAAGTCCCATGCACCAAAATAAGCGTGCTGCTTACAGTACCATTAAAAGATAGATTGTCCACAAAATACTGTCTTCACTGTGAGAATATATAGCTTTGGTCTTAAATATAAAGTTTATGTAAGTTCATTCTAAACATGAATTGAATAAATTCAGCTGTTTGCTATCTTTTTTGTGGAAGGTGCTGACAAAGATCCAGGTGCTCCACAAAGCATGCTCAAATTGTTTCTTTTGGCCGCAACAACTAAGATCAGCTACAAAGGCACAGTGTTTGTTACCAGCGGTCAATCCCCTTTAAAACTTTTCAGTACTTGCTACAGTAAACCAAAGGCATCACATGTCATAAATAGACTCCCTGTTTTTGAGGCTTTTATTAAAAATGCTTTTATAGCTTATCTTTTTCAAACTGTTGCAAATAAAACTACTTGATTTCAGTGATTCCTCTTCTGTATGTTATGCCTTAACAGATTTAAAAAAAAAGTATCGAATATATATCTTTGTATACAAAGTTTTTTCTTAAGAACAGCTGAAAACTATCATGATAAGACAAAAAATACACTTAGATGCAAAACCACTTCTATGATATGCTCAGGTTTTTTCCATTGATATTTATATTCAGATCAAAAGTGCAAAGCCTTTTCTAAAAAGAGGTGCCGAACTTCACCTGATGACTTTTACTTCATCACACAAGTAGATTTTTTTCCTAGTGCTTGAAATTCAAATTCTCTCTGAAAGGTGTGAGAAGAAAGAGCTACCTAAACTATAAAGACAGTGCTGGGAAAATTGTTCTTGTTTAAAGACTGTTGATTGGTTTCAACAGACAACCAATATAATTCTACATGATTTCACTACCCTCAAGTCTTTTCTTCATAGATTTCCTCGTTAGAGACCATTTAAAATTTAGTAGTAACATAGCACACAATTGTTCTCAAACCATAGTTCATGAGGCTAATGTAATTGGTCTGAGGACCCACGTGAAGCGGTTAAATTTACAGAGCTTTCACTTACAAGCTAAACGTAGGTCTCTGGTGTTCTACAAGAAACCTTAAGGATCAGCAATAGTCTGTTAGTACTGATATAGCACATTTCAGGTTCAAAGTATTTAGCAAACACCACCTGCATGAATTGTTAGAGCAGAGACTATTGTAACTATTGTAACTATTCTGTATAATAAAGAGAAATAAAAAGCAAACAATAAGGCAAAAAATTTAAAGCCTTCAGAAAGTTTAGTGTTGCTTGTAGAGTAGAATTATTTGAACAACAATGCACTGAACACAATCAAATTATTAAAAGTTTAGTTACTATATAGAGGTAATAGTCAAACTATTTTTGGACAAATCTGCTGATGAATCAGTAGGAAATCTGTTTTTCCCGGAGAACAATATACAGACTTAAATCTTGATCTGATTACGAAATAGTCACCCATAACAGCTATTTTAAGATCACAGGTATTTCATTACAAAGGAATGCTGGCACTGAACTTTATATGAGTTTGTGCCTGTTTCTTTTTCTCTGTAATTTTAAACTGAGTTGCTTTTGATCTGCAAAAGCGTAAATAAAATCAGAAGCAGGCCCAAAGCATAAATGCAGAACAAGAATATTTTAATGCTATTAAATTTGAATATTAGTGTTGTTTCTTTTTACCTGGTTTTAGCTTTCCATTGTTAGCTGCAGAGCTTTTCTCAACAAGACTTGCTATCTGGAGATACGGTCCATTCTGAATGATTATAAGACCTAGTCCTTGTTCACTCATCCTAATATTTGCCTTTAATGTTGCGCTTAGTGTGTGCTGAGATACGTTTTCCAGTGCTGACAACTGCCCTTTGAGAAATGAGAGGAAAATTTCACTAGTTGACAGTGTGATACCATTCTTCAATAAAATATTTAAGGACACATTTGAGCAGGTGCTGAAACCCATTCTTAATTGTCCAAACAGTAAAGTCCCTCGTCCTTCATTGCTTCTCTAGATATACATTGCCCGCTGAGTTGTTGCCAAAAAGTCACACTAACAACACTTACAAAAAGTTAGTGTAGTCCGGAAGCTAGCTCTCTGCAAATAAATATTCTGAAAGTAGTTTTTACTTAGCCTACTTAGCAATTTATTATTTCTTAAAAATTCACAGATCTTACCTAAAGAAAAAGTAATACTGCTGTTACTTAAGTATTCATGACAAATGGTGATGCATTCAGGGAAGATAGAGAACATGACACAGACTAACAGCATAGAGGAGTTGTCAGCTGTTAAGGATTTCAAGAAAGCTTTGAATTCCTATCAAAAATGGATTTTTCATACCAATATTTATAGAGGAGATAAATTTCTAAATTTCCAGCAGATTGGTTTCACACCCTACTGCTGACATGAGGGAAGGGACTGTACTTGCCAAATTTAGCACCTACAGAAATAAAATACTCTTGAGCATCCACTATCCATTAAAATGCATAATCCAAGTAATACTATATAAATGACACTATCCCAGTGTCTCCACCAAGAAATATAATAGGATAATAAACTATATCCTCCATCTCCTAAGCCTTCTCCTCTCATTAAGAGCCAGGAAAAGTGTAAGACTGACACACAAGTGCTTGAACCTCCTACAATAAACTGTTTTCCATTGAAATTGTCTTTTTAAAATGCTCTGTTTTAAGAAGACCTAATCTCTCCAAACGTAACTTCTAACAGTAGGGTAGCAATAACTTTAACTGCTAGAGCGCTCTGTCTCCAAAGTTTTCAAATCATTTAATGAAAATTCCAACCACTTTACCCTTCCTCTGTAAAGTACGGAAACTTGATTATCTTTCCAACAGCTTCAGTAAGCTTTTGATCAGGCCCTAAATGACAACATAGAAAGTCTATAAAAGAATTTGGATTAAAAGTAGGGCAATGCGAATATTTGATTTGTCAGTTTGGCTGCTGAACTGAAAAACAGAGGGAAACAGAAATAGCTTGAATTATTTTGTTTTCCTTCCCAATTAAAAATGCAGCCTTTTTGTTGATGTTGAGACTATTTTTGTTGTTGAGAATATTCCATTTGATTTGAATAGAATATTCAAGTTTCACGATCATGTAAGAAAAGTAAAGGAAATAAGACCCACACTCACACTCGCATCTGTTGATAAATTCTGAGAGGTCAGATGCCTGACCTAGTACTCTTTCTCCAGTGAATGCCCAGAATTTACGCAAAGTGGAATATGATCAATAGATGGTATTGAAAACTTTCCTATGGTGATTTGGGTCACTCTTCAAGAAATGCGTGTTTTGATATTTTCCAGTCAGAATAGGGAACTGAATCCTAGTTTCTGACTTCCAAAATGAGTACTTAACTCCCAGGCCACTAAATGTAAACAGATGATACCACGAAGCAAAGCTATTTTTTATTATTTTCTACCCAGAATTATTCAGCAAATCCCATTAAAATTCATGAATGAGTGTAGGTGAGCTAATGATCAGCACTGAAACAACAAACAAAAAAACGCTACTAAAAACTCTAGCTAACTCTAATCAGAAGCCAGGATCCTGGTTTTAAACTTGTATTTATTACATCAAGTTATCTTGCTGCATATGAGAGATTTAAAATTGCAAAACTGTCGCTAATCCAAAGCCTACAAAACGTTTAGGAGAAATGCCATGACTTCACACTTTTACATGAGATTCTTGATTTTTACCGTACCTGGTATCAGTCTACAAAGTCTCCAAGGAAAGTGTCTGGATTTTCTGTTTGTTCTTTGCTGGAGAAGACTGACACACTTGATAGAATTTACCTTACAGTTCTCCTAACATTGTCCTCATTTTTTCCAAGGTCACCCTTAAATTCTGCAGTGTCTGCAGAAGCATGGGATCTCATCCCATTCTCTTCTGTTGAAGTAACATCCTTTCCCTTTTGTCATCTGCCTACTGTTCCACTCCAAATACTCAATCACAAGAGCAGAAATGTCTCTTGATACTAAGAAAACCTGGGGCCCTGGGGATCTATGAAGAAGATAAACTGTTGGGTAGTAAAAGGACTTAAAAATTTTGAGACTACCTGAAACACAGGACTGGAAGAATAATACTGGGGCAGCAGTGAAGAGATGGAAAAGAAAAGAGGAGGAGACTGAGAGAGACCAAAAGTCACCGTTTTCATCCCCACCAGCTGGTGCAGCAGAAGACTGGGTATGTTCCATTGAGCCGAGACGAAGAGATTTTCTGTGCAGCCAAAATCACTGGGCAAGCGTGTCCTAGGTGAGCCTCCTGAAAATGAGCTGCCGCTCCAGGATGGCCTGTGGAGGAAGAGCAGGTTGGTGGGTAAGGAGAGGATTTCAGGCCTCACGACCGTTTAGAACGTGATGGCGCACAGGTTCTGGGCACCCACGGCCTGCGGCGAAGGCGCTGGCAGCACCCATGCTGCAAAGGTACCAGCAGCACCCACGCGGCAAAGGCACTGGTGGGACCCACACTGCAAAGGGACCAGCGGGACCCACACGGCGAAGGGAGCGGCAGCACCCACGCGGCACAGTGATCACAAATCTGCCCGCTGCCCAGGGCTCCGCTCCAGTGACACTGGCGTGGGGACAGATGCAAAGGAAGTTTGGCTTTTGGCAAATGACGTGGTTGTATTAAGTAGATTGTTTCAGCCCAGAGGAGAAATTTGATTTAGGCTGCCAGTTCGTTGAGTACTGCAGCTCAGACTCTCTGTCTGAGGCCCCCAAAACTTCGCACAGAAGTGTCCCTCCCAGGCAATATCCATAGGCACGTACTCATCTCTTAATGACCTGAGACAGAAGAAATAACCGACCAATAACAACCTGCAGGGTATTAAGACTGGATTCTGTCATTATGCCTGACTTCAGGTTTGCCTGCATATCGGAAGCGCATGAGAAAGACATCTTCCCTTTCTGTCCCCTCTCTACACCGCCTTCCTTTATTCCTTTTGCCGTGAAGCTTATTTGGAGACAAACTCATTTTGAGGCAGACTTTTACATAAGGCTTGTATTAAAAACTATTTAAATACCACTTGAAGCCGGTTTATAGGCTGGTTAGAAATCATTCTTGGAAATAACTTCTTTTCAAGACTGCTGGATTTCCATTGTTAGTGGAATATAATTTTGTAGTCTTTTAAATAAAAACCAATTCTCCCATTTCTGCCACACACCAATTGTTCCCTGTTTAAAGGGAACAGTTCCAGCTGTTCTTCATTAAAAGCCTTTACTATTTTCTCCACCCATAGAAGATCTGTCAAGATTTCAATAGAATCTAAGTGCAGCTCTTGTCCTCCCAATAAAAATTCCTGATTCCTCTTGAATGCATCAGAATTTCTTTACTAATCTCTCCCTTTTGTTTGCATAGTCTGCCATCTAACAACTGATCTGATCATAGGCGATTCTCAATACTCTTTACAGCTACATAAAAGACGTAGATAAAAACAAACAGCACAGACAATCGCTTGTTTGGTTTTCATGTTTCGTATAGACCACAGTTACGCTCGTCTGTGAAAATCGGTGAGCGTTCACTTGCTAGCAGGAAAAAAGCGCTTTGCGCAGTCAGGTATTTTACAAGGCCCTACAGAAGTGGGGGCTGCTGGACTAACAGTTATTAGTTCAACGTTCCCACGTGGCTGGCACATTCGGGAAGGCAGAGACTTACTCTGGCCCAAGCTAGGCCGACTCCCCCACGTTCAGCAGACTCTTCATTTATTGGCTGCAAGGACTTTTCCCCCTTGAATGAAGTCTATTCCCCGGAAAAGCACGTCATCAGAAGTCGCTGTATTTGGGTGAGTTTTCCAGCCAATATTAATTTGGTTGGACAGCAAGGCAACACAGCGCTTTCCCAGCGCTCTGCATCCTTGAGCCACCTGTGTCAACCAGTCCTTCCACCTTCCCCGTTTTTACCATTGCTTTTGCCCTTACGGAAACACCACTCAAATTTAAGGCACTACCCAACATTTAAAAAGGATAAGGACCGGCAGAGGCTACTAAAACGCGTGAGGTTTTTTTTTGAGATGAAGGCAGATCTATGACCCCTCCACAGCCTTCCTCACGCAGCCTCGACCAAGCTGCTTATTGTCCTCTCTCCACGCCCTGGTGAAGCGAGGGGCCTCGCCAGAGCCGCCCCAGGGCCGCGGGGCCTCGGCCCAAAGGCGCCTTTTCGGGGCTGTGGGCGGGTGAGGGGGCGCCGGGGGCC